ATATTTAATATTATTAATATAATAAATAATATATTATATAAAGTATTATATTATAAATATTATTTAATAAATATTTACCTCTTTTAAATCAAGAGCTCTTTTAATTATATAATAAGTAGAATTCCATCTAGTTTTTACATCCATAATTAATTCAAGTTTATTTGGATTATATTTCATAAATTTTTCTTTTCTTTGGGGTGTTAAACAAGCAAATAAAATAATTTTTCGAAGCTATTTTATAAAAAAATATTAAATTTTATTTGAATATTAACAATAAATATTAATTTATTTACCTTTTTAATTGCAGTCATTAAATCAATATTATTATCTTGTTTTGATAAATTTTCTTCTTGATTTGGACCTTCAGCTTTAAGATTTTTTAAAATATCTTGAGCAGCAATATTAATAATATGTCCAAGATATCGAATTTTATAATTATTTTCATCAAATTCTACTTCTTGTTCTTGACATAAATCAGTAAAATATTCAAACATTGTATCATTATTAGAGGCATTATTAGTTGTAATTGCTAATACCTATATAATATAATAAATAAAAATTTATTAATAAATTAAAAAAATAAAAAATAATTATTAAAAAAATAAACCTTATTTAAGATATTGTAATTTGTTAATATTTCGAATAAAATATTAGCAATGTTTTCTCCTAAATGTATATCTTCTAATTTAATAAATTCAATTGTCATTTGATTTAATTTCCAATTTTCATTTATCCAATGAGCTGTAATTCCTAAAAATGAGTCTTGGACTGGTGATGACCAAATATCAAGAGTCAACGAAATTTGACAAGATAAATTCTAAAAAAAATTAAATTAATTATATAATATTAAATAATTAAACAAATTAAAATTAAAATATATCTGTAATTTATTTTTAATATTATTATACTCAGTATTATATACTGATATAATTTTATTTTTAATTGTATTAGCTGAAGATAATTTTGCTTTATCACTAATATAATTTATTATATCTTTAAATCTATCTTCTTCAATAATTGTAAATGAATGATCATATTTTACTATCCATTTAACTATTTTATTTGTAAATTCTTTATGTTTATAATTCTATAAAAAATAATAATAATTAAAATAAATTATTAAAATAAAAAAAAATTAAAGATTATATTTAAAAATTTACATTTTTATTTTTTTTATTTCTAATTTTTTAAAATTAAAATTATAAACATTTCTAAGATGAGTTCTTAAAGTACTAGTTAAACTATCTTTTAGTTTTTTATATTTATTTCTAAATTAAAAAATATATTTTTAAATTTATATTTATAAAAATAATTTTAAATTTAAAATATAATATAAAACTTATAGGCAAATTTTGCATTTAAATTGTTTTGTTGTTTTATTATATCTATAATATTTATAATCAATTGAAAGTGATTTATTTGCTTTTTTGGGATTTGGCTGATCTTCTATATCTTCAAAACTATTGATATCTTTAAATCCATTTTCTAGATCTTAAAAACTACTAGATTCATCAATAGTATCAACTTCTATATCTTGAGAATTACTAGATTCAATAACAGGATCAACTTCAAATTCATCATTTTCAATATTATTATCTATGTTAATAGGAGATTGTGACATATTTTTTAAGTGAAAAAATTATAAATTGATTTTGGAAAATAATACTATAAGCTAATGTTAAAAAATTTGAAAAGATTTTCTAATTATAATATCTATATATATACAATATATATATATTAAAAAAATTAAATAGTATATTATTTATACTGTATATATAATTTTAATATATTCTAAATATAGTAATTTGATATATTACACCAAACAGATTTTCTTTGTAGTACTTTGTATCCCGTATTCAACTATTGTAAGGAATGTTATACAGGACATTATCCTAAAATAGAAGTTTAAAGGATATTAGACAAAACAATGCTTACCAAATAGTTAAATAATAAAATTAATTGAGTATCACAAAGGAAAAACCTGCAAATCTTTTAAGATTTGCAGATTTTCCCTTGCAGCAATTTAATTATGAAATTATGAAAAAAACCATTATACATACGTATGTACTATACATATTGGCATTTTACTAATATGTACAATGAATATGTATAAGCATTAATAACTGCTTTTTCTAACAGTATAGGCAAACAGTTTGTTCATCGATAATTATTATTGATAATTACCAATGAACAAACTATTTGCCAACACTGTTTTTAAATATAAGAAACAAAAAAGTCAAAAATGAATTATATATATTAGCTAGTTGAACCAATTAAACCGAATTCAACATACTTCAAAATACAGCACTTTGTAGCTACTTAATTTACATAAGGATGCTCAAGAAATGGTTACGCTTATATTTAATTGAGGTTATATGTAAAGAATCTTCCAAAGGAGTTGATTCTTTTATCAACTTATGACATATCATTTAGCGAGAATAGAGCATATTGGTTATCTATTATAATAGCTGTATTTACAGCTATTCGCTCACTATACTTAACTATTTAACTATTCTCTAAATTGATGGAATTTCTGATTCCTTGCTGCAAAGGTCACATATTTTATCAAAGCACAATTCAACAAATAGAGTTGGTTTTCATATTATCTTAAAATAAACAGACTTGTTTTTGGATATCCTGATTGTCTTATATTTTTACTAGTGCAAAGTACTAATGATGACGTAAATACACACTTTACTTCAAACTGCAATCTACAACATTAAATATTAGAGTTTTTAGCTTAAGGTTCAGGTTTCTAATTTTGACGTATTAACTTTGTAATCTGTGATTTATTTATTTTTATTTGCTTATATGATATAATATACATCATCAAAAAAGGTTATTTTATCATCAAATAACTCTTTTTTATTTTCTTTCAAAAATTTTAAAACTAAAATAGGAATTTCAAGGTTTCACTTATTTTTAAAATAAGTTAACTCATAGTTTGATTTTTATTTTAATTTACTAATATCAATATAAGAAAATTAATAGATTATAATGCTAATTAGATAGGTATTATATGAAGAACCCAGTAAATTAAATCATCGCTTCTCCATAGCCTACTGATTCAAATGCTGGCTACAATATCAATATTGAATAATTTCTAAAATAATTATTTTTATTACAAACTCTAAACTGAGACTATTTTATATAATTGTTGTAAAAAAATAATTAAAGTGTATTGAATATAACAAAATGAGGAATAAATTAAACCTATTTCAACATACCAAGTAATTTGGCTAGAATAGTCAAACCGAATATACCAAAATTACCCGACCAGGATAATCAAATTGAACCTTGATGCATAATGAAATAACCCTGTTAAAATAATTCAACAAATTAGCTAAAATAAGCGTATTGAACATAACAATAATAAGAAATAAAATTGAATCTATTTCAACATACCAAGTAATATGGCTAGAATAATTAAATTATAGCTGTTTTCATAAATTCTGGAACAACTAAAAAGATTGTTTATAACTGAATTAATAAGTTACCAAATCAGAATCAATAAGTAACTGACTCAGCTGATCTCATAAACTTATTGACTCGGTTATTGGCAATTTTTTAAGTTATTCCAGAATTTAGTAGAAGTTTATCACTGCAAATTAGAATATATAAAAACATTTGTAAATCCAATTCAACATACCAGATAAATTAACTAGAATAATTACTTGACTAGAACTTCAATATGACATAAAATGGCCTTGCTGGAATAAATAAAAAATTGTTCAACTGGAATAAGTATATTGAACTTAACAAAATAACCCAATTATATTATTAAAATTGAACCTATTTCAACATACCAAGTAACTCGCTAGAATAATCAAATTCGACACTAAATAAATCAGCTAGAATAATTAAATTAGATATATCCAAGTCATTTTGGTACATCGAATTAGGATAGTCAAATTAAACCTAATTCAACATACCAAACTAATCTGGTTGTAATAATCAAAAATTAATTCCAATTTGATATATCAAGTTAATCAGCTAGAATAAATAAAGAATAGTTTAACTAAAATAAGTATATTGAACATAATAAATGAATGACCCAATTAGAATAATAAAATTGAACCTATTTCAACATACCAAGTGACTCAGTTGAAATAATCAAATTAATTTAACTCGACACCAAGTAAATCAGCTAGAATAAATACCCAGCTAGGATAATCAAATTGAACCTCAATACGTCTCTGTTGGAATAATTCAACTTATCAGCTAGAATAAGGGTATTGAACATAAAATTATCCAATTAGATTAATAAAATTGAACCTATTTGACTTAGCTCAAATAATTAAATTAAATCTAATTCAACATACCAAGTGAATCAGCTGAAATAATTATATTAAATCCATCCAAGCCACTTTGGTACACTGAATTAGAATAATCAAATTAAACCTCATAAAATAACCCTGCTAGAATAAATAAAGTACAGTCCAACATATTAGTTGGAATAAGTGTATCGAAAATAACAAAATGCCCAATTAGAGTAATAAAATCGAACCTATTTCAACATACCAAAAATGCCCCTGCTAAAATAAATAAAGAATAGTTCAACATATCAACTAGATAGAATAAGTGTATTAAACTTAACATTACAAAATAACCCAATTAGGTAATAAAATTGAACCTATTTCAACATACCAAGTGACGGTTGGAACAATCAAATTAAACATACCAATAGAATAACTAAATTAGATATATCCAAGTTATTTTGGTACATCGAATTTGGATAATCAAGTTAAACCTAATTCAACATATTAAAATAACAATCAATTAAACCTCAATACGTCATAAAATGATCCTGTTGGAATAAATAAATTAAAATGGTATAAGCATATTGGATTTAATATAACAAAATAATTCAATTAGAATAAGCAAATTGAGCATAATTCAGCATACCAAATGATCTGGTGAAACATAATTCAATATATCAGGTAATCGCTTGAATAAGCAAGTTGAACTTTAACAAAATGACCCAATTGGAATAGGTAAATTAAAATATTTCAATATTATAAAGTAACCCGGCTAGAATAAGCAAGCCGAACCTAATTCAGTAAATTTAAACAAAAGAATCAGTTGGCTGAAACAAGTAAATTGAATATACAAAATAATCTAGTAAGTAAATTGAATATACTAAGTGACTTAGCTAGAATAAGTAAGTTGAGCCTAATTCAATATACCAAATGACCTAGTTGGAATAATCAAATCGGCATACCAAGTAACTCGATTTGAAGCCAAATAACCCGGTTGGAAATAAATAAATATGAATTAAAAAAAAAAATAATAAATAAAGATTCGAGTAGAATAAATAAATAAAATGCCGGCTAGAACAAGCTAATTTAATAAGCAAGTTGACCTAGCTGAAATAATCAAAATCAAAATAATTAAGTTGAAACTAATATAACATACCAAGTGACCCAGACAGAAATGAATAAATTAACATAATCAATATTAAAAAAAAAATTGATTTGGCTAGTATAAGTAAATT